ATGTGTGGAGTAAGTGAATGAAGGAATTAAATAAATGAACAAAGGGCCTGCACAGTAAGATGCAAGCAAAAATTAGAGACCTTTTTTATATAAAGCAAGCAAGCTACATAATCAGATTTTAAACAGATACATTCTAAAACTCATCTCCAAGTAGAGCAGAGTAGCACTTACTTTGCTAATTCTCCATCTTACAAATGAAATCTTTAGACGCATCATCCCAATTTCTTAAAAGGAAAAGCTGGGTAACACATTACAGGAAGTAAAATTTGTATTGTTTTTTATTTTTGTTTTTGAGATGGGGTCATGCTATGTTGCCTAAGCTGGTCTCAAATTCCTGGACTCAAGTGACTGTCCTGCCTCAGCCTCCCAAGTAGCTGGAACTGAGGCAGGCTAGGAACAGAGAAAGCCGTGAGACTTTCAGGTGCCATCTAACTTTTCCTAGCACACTTCTGTCCCTCCTTGCCAGGGCCTATTACTGCTTCTTCTTTCAGTGACTTCCCCTCATTTTCAATAAACTTTAGTACATTTTCACATCTTGCTTAGATTCCTTTCAAGTGAGATACAAGTGCTTAGGAATCATCTGACCATGGACTTTAGAGACCACCCATCCAGTAACAGAACTACAGGCAACCTCCACCTCATCCAGCTGAGTTTATTATTATAATGTGAACGATCCTTACCAAACAAGGAAAACTGCACATTAGTTTATACATAACAGAATTTTAAACTAGTTATACAATAAATCCCTAACTTAAAAACCTTGTTCAAATGCTAAAAAAAGAAAGAAAGAAAGAATTATAACCTGAGTGATTCCAGTAAGACTGATGCAGAAATCAGAAAGCTGTGTGTTCATTTCTGGCCTTACATACTGCTGAAACGTATCTTCCTACAAGGGAAGAACAAAATTACTTAATATGACTTGAGCTACATAATGTACTATACATGACAAGTCCAATCATACCAACTTAACGTGTTCATGGCATAGATCCTTCTAGAGTTTTAAAAATAATTTCCCACATCCAAAACTCTCTGATTTCTTAATTAATAAATTGTGATTCATAGTTTAAAAATTTTTAAGACAAAGAAACTATCAGAAAGGAAACCTTCAAATCAAAATTTAAATAACACTCCAGAGGAGCAAAATGTTGACAATTTTGTTTGTACTATTTTAAAACTATAAACTTATTAACGTAACCTATACTTCAGGATACTGAAAGCTTCCCCTCCCTCCTTTTTTGGCAATACTCCAGGTCTTTCGGACAATACTCAGGGTTTGAACTCAGGGTCCTACACTTGCTTGGCAGGCTCTCTACCATTTGAGCTACATCACCAGCCCTTTTAGCTTGACATATTTCACAAATAGGGTCTTGCATTTATGCCCAGGCAGGCCTCAAACCAAGATCTTTCAGAATAGTTAGGATTACAGGTATGAGTCACCAAACCTGGTTGATATTGAGGCTTTTTTTTTTAACAAATTCTTTTGAAGAAATTACCTATCATCAGCTGTAATAAATTAGTTCAATTACTGCTCTCTTACTCCTGGATGTGTTCATATTCATAGAAAGATTCAATTCAATTCATTCAATTAAATTATTACTATCTGATGCATAGTAATTTAAGAGCTTATAATACTATTTTTTGTAGCATTTTTGAAGCTTTTCAAGAAGCTTTCATTCTGGGCTTCCTGTTTTAATGCTCACAACTCCATGAACTAAGTAAGACTGGTACTGATGTCATCATCAGACTCTGATCTCTAAATGCTTTTTCCTCTAACCCAATACTGCTTCCCTAAACCAGAACACACAAAGTCACTTTTTTAAAAAAGGACAGGGCTGGAGGAAAGGCTCAGGTGGTAGAGTGTCTGCCTAGCAAGTGTAATACCCTGAGTTCAAACTCTAGTACTGGGGGTATAGCTCAGGGGTAACTCTAGTACTGCAAACTCTAGTACTAGCCAAAAAAAAAAAAAAAAATACACACACACACACATATATATATGAACAATTTCAAAACCTAAATATTTAAAGGCAGCAATTGTGAGTCCTATGATAGAAGATTTAAAAATTAAGTAAATGTTCATACTTCCTAAGAACACATTCTTTCTCCATACCAATATATTAAGCAGATGAACTATAAATTGTTGCTAAGAATTGTAAAAGAGTAAGGAGTAGCCTTTTTGATTCTAAACCATTTTGATTCTAAAAACTAGATGTTCTTTACTTACCTGACACATGGCTGAAAGAATTCCACTTAGATGAATATCCTAACTAAATGAAGCCTATAAAAAGTCCTTTTAAGTATCAATATTTTGTATTATAATTTTAAATTAAAATCTTTAAAAAAATATATTGCAATTGCCCCTACCATTACAATCAGGTAACACTAAATGCAATAAACACTTAAAATTTTATTCACTTATTAATACTTCTAACAGAATAATGTTACAGAGAAGTATCCATTCATGGACCAAATATTTAATCATCACTTAAAGGGAAAGTAGAGTGGGTACGAGAATCAGAAAGGTTAGCTGCGTACTGTTTACAAGCTACCCTAACAAATAGGATAATCAGGTTGGCTTCATTTAGAGGTAAGATTTAAAGGAGAACTAAGAGGGAGAAAATCAGCCAGCAAGACTTCTGAGGGGAAAGAACTAGATCTTAAGCTCTGGGAAGTAAGGGGCTAGAACATACCTGGCATTTTTGAATAATATAGTATGAGGTCAGTACGGCTGGAATGGAATGAGTGAGGAAAAGGAAAAGTAGAAGCAACTGAAGGAAACAAGAGGCCAGATCATATCATGAATATGGTTTTCACTCAGATTCAACAGAGAACCAGGGCAAAGTTTTGAGCAGGGGAGTGAAATCGATGACATACATTTAAAGGATTACTCAGGCCACTGGCTGTAGAAATGTAAGGACAGAAACACACAGATCTACTAGATGGCAAATGCAGTAAATCAAACAGGAAGTAACTGGGGCTCAGACTAGAGTCACAGCAGTTCAGTTAAGCGACTAAGTTCTGAACACATTTTATTTAAATGCAGATCCAAACAGGAATCACTAATGATCTGGGTATGTGATATGAAAGAAACAGACAGAAGTTAAGGATGACTCCAAAGTTTTTACACTGAGCAATTAGACTTGAATTAGAAAAAGCTGCCATCACTCAAGCCAGAGGAAGCTGAAGACAGAATGGGCTAGGAGTAAATTCATGCCAAGATACCTGTTTATATGGCCAAGTAGAGAAGTAAGGTAAGCAGCATGGATTTGGACAGAGGTCCAGGTTGGAGATACACATTTGAAAGTCATCAACATCGAGAGAGTTTCTAAAAGTTACAGAACAAGATGAGATCATCAAGGATTACCAAGGGAGAGTAAGTAGATAGAGGAGAGGAGCAGGGATTGAGCCCTGAGAATTCAATATGAGAAAGCTGAGACAGAGGAATCAGCAAGGGAAACTACAAGCCTGGAAAGAAAAAAAAAAAAAAAAATCAAGAAGGAAGTGTAATGGCAGTTACTGGAAAAAAAAAACTTATCAAGAGAGCAAATCAATTATACAAGAATTTCACTAAAACAAGTGACTTTAGTATTGATGGGAATGAATACATAGCTTCATCACTGGAGTGGGTTTAACAGATAATAAGAAGGAAATAAAGACATAAGTACATACCACTTCTCTGAAGAATTTTGCCATGAAGAGGAGCAAACAAAAGGGTAGCTGGCAGTACCAAGGAATGATGTAATGATTTTCTTATGGTGTGAAAAATAACGTTTGTAGGTAAAGAGAACAGTAGAAAGCAATAAATCATGTTTAACTGAAAATTTCAATAGCAGTGTCCTTGACTAAGACAGAAGTAAAATCAAATGAGTTATACAAGATTATTTCCCTTCATAGCTGCCATTTTTCCTTTTAATTTATTGACCTGTAATCTACTTTGGATGAGGAAATTATAGAAATAGGCTGTAATTAAAAGAAGCTGTAAAACAGAATGAAAAACCTACACATTTTCATACTTACTGCAAGTGTGTTGGTAGCAAGGGAGGATATCAGATGAGTGACTTTTAGATAGATGAGACACTATGACATATCCTCACTGATCTTTTATAGGCACATTATTATTTTAGGAAATTCATTCTGTGATTTTTTGAACCAAGAAAGACAATAATTATTTAAGACACACTTTTTTTTTTTTTTTTGATGTTAATGGGATTTAAACTCAGGGCTTCACGCTTACTAGGCAGATGCTCTACAGCTTCAGCCACACCTTCAGGCCTTTTGCTCTGGCTACTATGGAGATAGCGCCTTCCCTTTTGCTCAGGCCTGGACCGCCATCTTATCTTAGGCTTCCTGCTATTACTGGGATGACAGGCATGCACCACCATATCCAGCTGTTAGTGAGATGGGGTCTCACTAACTTTTTTGATCCTTCCAATCTCAGCCTCCCAAGTAGCTAGGATGGTGCGCAGCAATATGGCTTAGAAACAAAGATTATAGGTGGATCATCCCATAAAACTTCCATCAGAATGATGGCCAGTTATTTCTATAAATTATCATTCTTAGAGATATGAGTGCACATTAGGCTGCAAGAATGCTCTGTGACCCTGAGAACATATCGAAACCAACTGAGCAGCTTTTAAAAAATATGCTGATATCAGGAACCCTGCCACAAAACAACTAAATTAGTGTACCAGAAACTAAGTTCAGGCATCTGGAGTTTTTTGCTTTTTACTCCCCAAGAAATTCTGATGTCCCCCCAGATGTTCTGAGTAAACAGAAAACAGAAAACAACAAAAATACTATACTTTTAGCTACAAGAAAAAAAAGTAGTCTCTGAAGTTGTTTTATTATTATTAATCATGCCAATACAAAGTTCACAACAAGAGCAAAAAGCTCATTTCAGAATTCTAGTTCTAGCTAAAATGGCAAATAAGATCCTCCAACTATTAGGAAACACTAGAATAACTACAACTAAAAACAAAATTAAAATATGACAATTCACTTACTATTTCTAAGGTGTGAGTATTCAACAACACAACAGGAAATTCAATTATTTCATGTAAGAACTCAGGTGGATTGCCCTCTTCACAAGTGGCTTCAAAGTCAATAATACAAATGTAGTCATAGTAACTGTCTGCACAACTGCTCTCTTTCAACATTAGCTTCTGCTTCTTATAATAGTTTTTCAGTCTCTTCTTTAGGACATCCTTTACTCCTCTAAGTAAAAGAAGAATAAAATTTATTTAGGTGAATTTTGCAGTCAAGAATCAGAACTCTTCTTACCTGCTGCCAATGGGCTGAACACTAACAGTCACAGTATCATTTAGCAAATACTACATAAAATAAATATAAGAAAAGCAAAACTCAAAGCTAAGTTGGCAAAGAATTAACGAAAACAAAATGTTTAATACAGCATAAGTAACTCCATTTTAGTAGAACAAAAGACCATTTTCTCCAATATACACTACTATTTTGAACCATAAGCCTTGTCAGCACACATCACTTAAACAGCCCTATTTCCCTATATATTCAGAAAACATACATGATACAAAAACTGAAACTAATTTCAAATTATTCTACAGGCCAAATATAAATGTCAGATGTGAAAATTCAGGTAAATTGAATGCACTGTGATCTCTCCTTTCTTTTGATATTTGTAGGTTAGACAATTAAAAAAAAAAAAAAAATCCTCACCTACCAGGCAAGCAAGAAGCCCTGAGAATAACCTCTACTACTGTCCAAAAACACTCTCTCTCTCACTCACACACACACACACACACACACACACACACACACACACACACACCACACACACACACACACACACAAATGAAAGCATTATGAGTCTAGCATTTAAAGCTGAATGTCCGCTAGCTACGGGGAAAACTCATTTAGAAGATACCACCTTGGAGTAAGCTGTCCACAGGAACAATATTATACTCAGTAGGTTACTACTTGAAAGCAGGTTTCTTAATTTACCATGGGTAAAATGCAGTTTAGGGGATTTCAATATTATAGACAGCTTTAAAATACACATTCTACAAATGAAGTATGGTGGTGGAGGGGGTCTTCCTACATAGATAACAATGGATGGTGGCAGTGATCACAGACTTCAAACAGTATTTCTTAAAAACATGAAAGTTATAACCAATGTTTACTCTTCCTTCAGTGTTACTTGGTTGGAATTCTACATTGGTCTATAAATATAAGACAGTAGTAAAAATAAGAGGATCTAAGTTATAATTAATGTATGTGCCAAGAAAAACTTTTTGATCATACTGAACAGAAACTTAAAAAAAAAGATTTTTAGCCTTTTTCTTCCTAAACTACCAATAGAACACTGAAAAGAAATCCTACCCATGAAAACACTGATTAGCAGTTGCTTAAGATAAAATGTTTTAACCTATTTGTTTGCTTGAGATTTTTCATATTTTCAAAATCTAGAAAGGAAGTCCCCCAAACCCATTCAAATTAAGACACTGTAAGTGACTGCATCCTCCTGAGTGCTGCAGGGATGCACCTCCATGCTCAGTAATTTTCTTTATTTTTTGCGGTACTGAGGCTTGAAGTCAGAGCCTACACCTGAGCCACTCCACCAGCCCTATTTTTGTGAAGGGTTTTTGGAGATAGGGTCTTTAGAACTATTTGCCCAGGCTGGTTTCGAACCTTGAGCCTCCTGATCTCTGCCTCCTCAGTAGATAGGATAAACAGGCATGAGACACCAGCACCCAGCTTTTTTTAACTATACTGTAAACATGTAACTAGCTGCTCAGGATAAAAAGAAAACTTGTCATCTTTAACACCTCCCTTGCTCCTCCCATATCCAAATACTCACCATTTTCAAGTGCATCTCAGAAAAATATTCAGAATCTGGTTCTTCTTAATTCTCTCTGTGGCTCTTCAGCTGCTTAGACTATGGCAAACACCTCCACTATCACAATCCTCCAATTATTCTTCATCTTAAGAACTGAGTGCTAATGCCACTTTCCTGCCCAGTATCTTTAGTGATTCCCCTTCTGCTCACAAGGTAAAAACACAGAATTTGGCTTAGGGTTCCTTCACAACTTTGCTACAACCCATCCTTGTATACTCTCATCAAAGGTTCCACAGGGCTGTGGGCATGGTCCAGTACTGCTACAAAAAAAAATTCCTTCTCCCCCATGTACAATGGTACATTATACATTGCAGACAAACATATTGCAAATCATGGCCTAAATATGTGATAAGCGTTCATGTTTCATAACTTCAATTTTATAGTAGCTGAAGATACAAACAAGAATTATAGATGGTTTTTAGTTCTTTTTCCCCTGAAATAAACTCCTTTCCTTTTCTGTTTGGCACAATCCAAATACCACCTTTCTGAATTACGGAGAAACACTCTTCTCTGAAGTCTCATGCTACACATGGCTGGACCTCTCCAATACAGCATTGGCCACTTTGTATTGTGGTTATTTGTTTGTGTTTTCCCAAAAGACTGTGAGAGTTCCAAAGTGGGAAATATATCTGTATTTGCCTTCATAACTTCAGTAACAGTACAGTGCTTAGAATAAGTACTTGGTGAATAAATGTATAAACATACATCTAGATCTCTAGCTCCCATGCAAACCAGGAGTAAGCAATTCACCTTTCACACCTAGAAAGAACAAAACTTTTTCTCAGAAAAATCTTCATAATAGAAAGTCAGGGGAAATTAAGTCAAGATTTTCTTCACAAATTATGATATAGTATTTTTTTCCCCTTTGGCAGCACTGGAGTTTGAACTCAGGGCCTCACACTTACTAGGCATGTGTTTTTACTGTTTGAGCCACTCACCAGGCCACAAATTATGTTGTAGACAACCTATTCTATTATCATTTGTTGCAGGGGGAGGATAGGGGTTTTAATTCAGGGCTTGATGTCTGCAAAGCAGGCTCTCTACCATTTGAGCTACACCTCCAGTCCTGATGTATCTGGAAGGTGGGGAAAAAAAATGTATTTGTGCTCTTTTGAAAAGCAGCCAAGCTCTATTGTAAAGCAAAGAGGAGGAATATCATTAGAAGGGAATAAGAGTTCAGAAGTGCCCTGAAACAGTGTTTTCATCTACTATATATAGAACATTTTTTTTCTTGATGCCAGGCAATTCTATTATTTACCAAAACACAATACATTTTTCTGAACTCCAAAAGTTATTCCTACCCCATACTCCAAGTTAAAAAAGTATGTCATTTGTTTTGTAAAATACTATTAAAAACTTAGGTATTTGTGCATCTCATCAAAGATGCATGAATAGCACTGTTTTCTCATTCAGTAGAACTAAAACAAAACATTATTTCTTTGTAAGTGAATTTCTTTAAATTACCTGATTTCAGACAAACCCACAATACAAATGGCACAGGAAAAGAAAAAAGAATATCCCTTATTGTCAACTAAATGAATGACTTAAAAAAAGGTTTGAAGTCAAGCATGGTGGCATACATCTGTGATCCCCATACTCAGGAGGCTAAGGCAGTAGATCTCAAGTTCAAGCCTGAGCTACACAGCAAGATCCTGTCTCAAAAATTAAAAAAAAATTTTTAAAAAATTTAAAAACATTTGATACACCTATACATTGCTGGTATATCACTAAAATATTCATAGACTTGGACTCAGCAATCCTATTTCATCATCTAAAGGACTGACAGATAGTAGAGTTATACACCAAGATTCATATATAATATAATTAGTTATCTGAATTCTTAATTATCACTTCATTACAGTAGGATTACAAGTGATTTTTAATTTTTCCTTGTTTTCAAGATTTATAATTTTAAAGTTATTTTGGGGATGTTTCTTAATAGTGTATATTAACTGTATAAAACAATGAGTTAAAAGTTATTGTTAATTACCTGGTTTCAAGCTTGAATTCTGAAAGTTTAGCTCTAAGTTCTTCCTTACTCATTCTATTAATACAACCATTTGTAATGGCAATCTCTTTGTAAACTGGGTCACTGAAGTCACTTCCGTTGGAGCTTATGAACTTAGATCCATTTGTTTCTTGACCATCAAGTCTACATCGCTGCTTTTTCTGTAGAAGAAAAAAGGTGGAGGCATTAATTCATAATGAATATAAATATATATTTAAGATTCAAACTCCTTAGGCCTCTTTATGCTACATGCTCAATGAAAACTGCCCATTACAGCTACTGGAGAGAGGCTAGGATAGGAAGACAAAAGATGTGTTTCCAATATACCTTGGTCAATTCTGAGTCATGAGGTTCCTCAATGGCAAAAAAAAAAAGGACTGGTATTAGAGTCAGAACCACCTCAATACATACAGAACCAAGCTGACCATTTAACAGGAGCGTAACTTATTAGTCTCCAATCTTCAGTTTCCTTATCTATTAAAATAAGGTATAAGTGTTCCAAATGGCATTCGGTAATGGCAAAGAGTATTTGGGCAGTATTATTTTAAGTACGAAATGAGATTATGTATGCATAGCAGGCTCCTAATACCCAGAAGTGGCTATTAGGATATGGTAGCTATTACCATTACAGGCTGTAAAACAAACCTTTTCACAAACAATATTCCCAAATGGCCCAACTTAAATGAACTTCTTCAATATTCTGCACAGGTAAATCACTGACCTCCTGAGAATTTTTTAACCTGACTTCATTTCACAAAGCTAACAAACTAACCAACATAAAAACAAGACAAACTGTAAATCTAGTCCAAAACTTCCTAGTGTCCAAAGAAATGTATTTAGTTTCAAAACTCATAATTTTCGAAAGTGACACATACAACAGCTAATCAAAAGTAGTCTCTCAGCCAGGTCACTCTGGCTCACGCCTGTAATCCTAGTTACTCAGGAGACAGGGATCAGGAGGACTGTGCTTCAAAGCCGCCAGGGCAAATAGTTCACAAGACACTATCTCAAAAATACCCAATACAAAAAAGGGCTGGTTAAGTGGCTCAAGGTGTAGGCCTGAACATTCAAACCCCAGTACAGCAAAAAAAGTTCTCCTCAAATTTCAAGTCTACACTAACGCTTCCCAAAGAATGCTCAAATCAATCCACCAAGGAGCAGAAAGAAATGTTTAAAACCCCAAACATATTATTTAATTTGCAAAAACAGTAAGTTTACTAAATTAACACAAAGATCAGCACTGGCATCTGCCCCAGACTCTATGTCCATCTGTCATATGTCACATACAGTACTAGCCAGATAACAAGAAATGTGGAGATGGATTTGTAGTGAAGAGAAATGCCTTCACAGAACTGTGACATTCTGCCATTTTCATGTGTCCAATTAAGTATATGTATGGCTTATATGACTTCAAATAAGAAAATATTTTACATTATGGAAAAATGACCATGAAAATCTTTCATACCAAATGAATTTGTTGACTGTCCTGTGGTACTTTAAAGTGTTATTGAACTTAAAGATGAGTTGCAAAAGACAAGTATTTCAAAATTGCTGTCCTTTTCCTGTTGAGATTATATCTTCATTTTTAAGTTTTTTTTTTTTAAATAATCTGTTGTTTCAATATAAAAGAACATAGTTTTAAAAATAAGCTAGAAGCCAGGTGCTGGTGGCTCATGCCTGTAATCGTAGCTACTTAGGAGGCTGAGATCAGGAAGATCACCATTCGAGGCCACCCCAGGCAAACAGTTGGGGACCCCATCTCAAAATAACCAGAGCAAAATGGACTGGAGGTGCGAGAAGCGGTACAGCGCCTGCTTTGCAAGCAGGAAGCCCTGGGTAACTTTATCAAAAGAACCTTTTTCTCTGTCAGGAGGATTTTGAAAACAGATATTTTGGAAATGTTTCCATATACTGCCTATGAAAAAAAGAAAAACTTCTGCATCTGCACACTGAAAAGAACTTAGAAACATGATTTGTCTTGATTAAAATTCATCCAAAATTGTTCTGATGAAATTTGAGCCTACTTGTTAAGATATAAAAATGCAACTCCTTCTATTAGTTTACAAAGACAATCAAAACTAGGAATAATGGAAATTTACTAGCCCCCCCCCAAAAAAAAACTTTTGGTTGGTTAAAATCAGGGGGGAAAATGTATACTCATGTATTAAGAGTATTGAATAATAAGTTTTTAACAGATTATGTCACTAAAACCAATATGGGGCACAGGTCTCAAGTCACTATATCTTGAAGTTTCAAGACTTTCACATATAATAAAGTATATTCAAACACATTTCTCTTATTAAATAAACTTTGAAAATTGTTTTACAAACTGAGTTAGATGATATTCTTGACGAAATGAAGAAGAGGGAGATGGAATTTACAGGAGGCAAATAGAAGACCTCTGAGTACCAACTTAGGAAGAATGAGGTAATTATGCTAAGATTCAGAGGACATACAAAGACCCTTAAAGAGGAAGACACAGCACAGTAGACGAACACAAGGAATTCAGGGTCCGTGGGAGTAAAAGGGAAGTGTGTGGTGTGCAATCAGCAACAGAGGCAGAGGCAGGAGCCAGATCCCGAGGGTGCCAATGCAGGGACCCTGTACACCAGTTCTGTTCAGACAGATCACTGTAGGGGTGAATTCAAATATGATACATTCTAAGAACTTTTGTAAAGGTCACAATGTGCCCCCAGTACAACAATAAGACAGTGATAATTAAAAACATCACCGTAGCTGCTACCTGAAAGCTGACTGCAGAGGGAAGGGAACAAAAGAGCAGGGAAGACTCTCGAAAATACTCACTTTATGGGATCCTCAACATTTGCTTCTTATTTCTAGGATCAATTTTCGTACTGGATTTACAATTCCCTGAGATAGCCAACAATAACAATTTTAAGTGCTAAAACTATTTTGCAATTGTGCCACTGCAATTAATAGATACCAAGGACACCAAAATTATTAAGAGAACCAACAATTACTGTATCTACATGAGATGGCTAGGAAACAGGCAAAAATACGGGGCGAGGCTCCAGGAAAGAGGTGCAGCAGGCACAGGCATGCTGCTAACGGCTGACGTCCTCGGATTAATAAAAAAAACAAGCTTTAAAAAAAACTTTTAAAAAAGCGACATATGCAGGGCACACGGCGCTACTCTAAACCTTCCCCGATGCAGACAGGGGGCTGTCCGAATGGCATTCACGGACGTTCTCTAACGTTTGCGGCACAATTCTCACTCAGAACTTCTGGCCGGGACCACCCACCTTCATCCATGGGGCAATCAGGCCCCGAGGGGGTCGGTGGGTGACAGGGAGCTGGGGACGGGAAAGGCGGCCGGGGTGGGGTGGGAGGGCGCGGGCTGCAGCTCCCGCGGGACACCTATGAAGAAAGGGGTTCCGAGGCCGGCGCGGCGCCGACTGCTCACCTCCAGATTCCCCGGTCGCGGCTCCTCCCCACACGGCCGCCGCGGCGACTCAGGCCGCTCGGGAGCCACGGCCTCGCCGCCACGCTGACTGCTCGTCTCATCCTCCATGCCGGCTCTCACGCCAGAAGACGGCAGCTGGGGCGGGTCACTGGCTCACTCCCACGCCGCCAAGTCCCCAAAGTTCGCTTTTCTCCGTTGAAAAATTATCAGGCTCCCGTTCCCGCGGCGGCGGCCACACAAACTCCGTCGGGCACCTCCCACTTCCGGGAGCGTGCGGCGTCCGCACGCCGCGCAGGCGCAGTGGGCGAGCGCGCGGAACGCGAGCGCCGCCGCCGCCAGGAAGAAGCGGGAAGAGGCGCGGGAGGGAGGTGGGCGTGGTCGGGCCTGCGCCCTGGAGGACACTAGCGTTTTCATCTTTCATTGGCCAGCAGCCTTTTTAATATGCTAATATAAGGCCGCCATGCAAATTTCATGGGAAATGAGTGTAAAGCGTCTCTAGTTAATATTTCCTGCAGATTCTAAAGTGTTTTCTTCAAAAATTAATTCAAATATAAATACTTAATTCAAAAGTATTAACTATTGTTTTCCTGTGTCCGGTGTTGCTTTGAAAACTAATGTCAGTATGGTTCTCGCTGTTTTGCAGATAACCTGTCATCTAAAGACTGCAAATTTTCTGTCACTTATATGCTTGAGTTTCACTAAAATGGATGTAGATGGGGATTTTCCTTTTTTGTTTCCATTTGGTTTTCTGTCACTCTTTTGAATCTGAGATCTTTTATTTTTATTTAATTTACAGCAATTTATCTTCATTTCTTTCTTTCTTTTTTTCTTTTTTTCCGGTAATGGGGCTTGAACTCAGGGCCTTCACCTTGAGCCACTCCACCAGCCCTATTTTTGTGAATAGTGTTTTGAGATAGGGTGTCATGAACTATTTGCCCAGACTGGCTTCGAACCGCTATCCTCCTGATCTCTGCCTCCTGAATAACTAGGGTTACAGGCGTGAGCCACTGGCACCTAGCTCTCCATTTCTTTAAAAGTAGCTTCCTCTCCAGTTTTTTTCTCCTCTGTATGTGGGACTCATAATATCTAGATGTTGGCATTGTTTTTCCATATCTTTTTTTTCCAAATGCCTCCTAGAAAAATTCCATAATTTGGTTTTATAAATCTCTAACTTTTTTGAACTGAAGGTCTCTTACTGCTTGAGCCATGCCCCGAATCCTTTTTTGTGATGGATTTTTTGAGATAGGGTCTCACAAACTATTTGCCCAGCCTGGCTTCGAACCTTGATCCTCCTGATCTCTGCCTCCTGAGTAGCTAGGATTACAGGCGCGGCGTACCAGCCCCTGACCCATTTCCATTTCTTAATGATTTTTTATTTTTGACTCATATTACTAGTATCTTTATCTCCTAAAGTATGTGTGTTATGCACATTTTAAAATTCTCAGTTCATCTGTTCTAGTAACTCAGTTTAAGAAGGAAGCCAGTGAGCCTGATTCAGCACAGGAGCATTCATCATCCTCTTTGATTGCTGAGCAGGCAGCTCTCCTATTCAGGGATTCATGGTTAGTCAATTAGTAAGAATCAGATTTGGAGGAGACCAACTGCCCAGATCCTGATCCACCAGCCCTGAGACTTGGAATGGGTGGCTCTAAGGAGCCATTGCCTTCCAGCTCTGGTTAACCTGTTCTTTTTTTTGTAAGAACAGACGTCTTAGTGCTTCCACCTGGCTTAAGCCATGGGCAGGCTTGCAAAGTTGTGCTTTCTGCTTTCCTCCAGGCCTTCTCATGACTACACCTGGATGCCCAGGCTGCCCCCTCCCAAATAAACACACATATCTCCCACACCATTTCAGATTCCCATGAAGTTTCTCATTTTGCTGTTACTCATTTCTCACGTCCACATATTTTCTAGAGTTCATGGGAGAGAGAAGGGGCTAATGAGCTATGAAACTACATTATTTCTACAAAACAAAGATATCTGGCGTTTAGTTTGCTAGGGCTTCTGAGACCACATTCTCAGTCACGCAGGTGCAGCCTTGGGAGTGCAGCCTTGAGCCACCAGGTCCTGGCTGGATGCCATGTACACTTACATAACAGTATGTTATGATGAGTCCAAGCTGCTTTGTCAGCTTTGGGCTACTTTTGTTCTCCTATAAGAGGCAGAGATGGCTGGTTCCACCTGTCTCTCCTCCCTCCTGTAGTGTTGCTTGAAATAAAGCCACCTATATGCAATTGCCTTCTTTCAATTTTCCACCAGACCAAAACAGTGAGCCTGACAAGCTGGCATAGACAGCAGGATCTGAAGTTCTGTTCCCATGGCAGATTTGGACAAAATACATGAGATGTGGCCCCCAACTAATCTGTGGTATCTGGTGTTGGCTTTGCTATTGCAATGGGCTCCTGCAGAGGCTTGGGGGGGACACTAGGTGCCTTGAAGATGGCTATCCCCCAAGTGCTATATTGGCTCCCTGAGGGACATAAGCCAGCCTGCCAGGTGGCATGGCTGTGCTAAAGCTGTGCGGCTGCAACACTCGGAGGAACTGGCCTTGCAAGCTCAGTTACACAGTATGAGGACACCACAGACTGTGTTGAAAGTCAAGGTAACCAAGCTAGAGGAGCAAAGCTAGAGTCAACAGGCTCTGGTTTGGGTGGCTCAGCCCCTCCCCCAGTAATGCTGAGAGCATCGTTAAACGGTAATTACAGCATGGTCAGCAATTGGACCAACATGGTTGGCATGTGGGAGCTCCAGAAGTTAAGGGGCATGCTACTTCTGTGCAGTATCCTCCAGAAGGGTTAAGAGAGCTGGCTAAAACAGTCTGGGCAAAAGCCCAGGAATCTACTGTGGCATGAATGCTGTGCTTATGGGATGATGGGACTGATACTTTGATATTATCTCCTGAGGAGATGCAACAACTGAGTTCCATTACCAGCAATCCTACCTTCCAACCATGCATACAAAGTGCAGGGCCACGGCCCCCAGATGATATGGGAACTCCTATGTTAAGCTAGTGAATGGCTATTGCCCAGGATGTATGGGCAAATGAGGGGGAGACGCCAGGTACTCCACAAAGTGGACGTCATATTCTGAAACGGTGCAGGTGTTGTGGGAAATGGGGATGCGGTATATGATATTCCAAATAGAGTACACAGCCCTGATGACCAGCGTTTCACTACAAAAATGAAAGATATGTTGATGGCCATGGCCCCAGCAGGCTCTTTTGGCACACTGGCTGCTCTCCTTATGCCATATATGGACCGTAGCATTTATGATGTCACTCAGGCTATGGTTAGCATAGATGATGTGGAAATAAAACAGAAAAACAAGGGAGTGTGTAGTATGCAATTTGCTGGGGCAAAGGTGGGGAAAGGAGGCAAGGAAAAGGCAGGATATAACAAAAAACATACCCTGAAGGGTCCAGTAAAGGTGTCCTGTCACATTATGTGGTCTGACTTAATTGCAGCAGAGGTAGACATAGATGGGCAATCTACAACTATGCTGTTTGCCCTATGGAAAGACCTTTCCACTGAACAAAAGTACACCAAAAGTAAGGAGGGTCAAACAAGCAGAAAGGTGAAGACCCAGATGTTGACTTTGCAAGACCTGTTAAGCAAGGATTGATTAGATGGATGGGATATACGGGTAGTGGGGACCGACATGACCTACTGCCCCATGTGGAGCTGCATATATATGTTGGTTCCCCCACAATGTACAAAATGTGCTTGTATTGGCAGATATAGATGCTGAGTGAACTTTGTTATTCGGCAACCCTACGAAATTCCAAGGACCCACAGCAGTAATGGATGGTTATGGCAGACACTCCATCCATGTTGTAGAGACACAAGTAACATTGGGAATTGAACAATTGGCACCTCAGCCATATAGGGTATTTATCCCCAGTGCCAAAATAGATCCTGGGGATGGATATCCTTCAAGGATTGTGGCTAGACACTATTGTAGGAGAATTATGGCTATGCATATAAGCAGTACAAACAGTGGTTCAGGGTCATCCACCCACCCCCCCAGTATATGTGCCAGCACCTACATGGACAGTGCATGTAAAACAGAATAAGTTGCCAGGAGGCCATAAAGAGATAACAGGCACTATTACATGTGGGGAGCAGATTATGAGAAGCCTATGAGAACTTGACACAAGCATAGCTGTGCTCAATAATCTGCAGGCTGAGTCTGGCATGGCCCCAGCCACAGAAGAGGGCAAGGGCAAAATGCAGCACAGTTGCTTCTCCTTAGATGTTTACATTCAGAGAGTAGCGTTTGCAGGTTTCTCTTGTTACAATGTCACACCACTCCCCAAGAACTGTTGCTCCACCTCCTTGTTTGATCCCCAAGAACTGTTGCTCCACCTCCTTGTTTGATCCCCAAGAACTGTTGCTCCACCTCCTTGTTTGCAATTGTATATAAAAGACTCACTGAAGGAGGATGGGTGCTGGCTGCTGGCTGCTTGTGAGGTGTGGCTGCTGCCAATGCTGCTGGCAGTGGCTGCTGTTGTGTGTCTGCGAGTCTAAGGACCAAGACGTTAGGAGTTATGCTAGAGATTAAAGGAAACCTGGGACAATGCAAGTCTGAGTACCGAGACTTTAAGAGAGATTAAAGAAAACATGGGACAGTGCGAATCTAAGGACCAAGACTTTAAAGAATAGAAAAGAAGTAAGGTTTTAAAGAATAGAGAAAAGAAGCAAAGTAAAAGAAGAGAAGTAAAAAAGAAGTAAGGAGGCTATTGTTCGTCTCCATCCAAGTGCCCAGCACACCTGACCCCAACTTCCTGCATGTTTGTCTTCTACCTTTTGTCCTTTCTGCATCTCCAGTCGCACCTAGTTAGGTTAGTAGAACAAGAGCTCACGTGGGTCGCCAAGAATTGTGGAACTGGAAAAGGCAAAAATTATATGTCCGGTGCATAGCTCTTATAATTCTCCCATATGGCCCGTGTGGACCAGACGGAACACAGCACATGACTTAACTATCAGGAGCTTAATAAAGTTCACCCTGCCTTTTCATGCTGCCGTACCCTCAGCTAAGGACATTTTGGACCAAGTGATTTTGCACCTAGGACACTACCACTATGTGGTAGATTTGGCTAATGCTTTTTTCTCTATAGACTTGGTGCCAGAATGTCAAAATCAATCTGCCTTTACCTGGCAAAGTTGCCAAAGGAAAGTTTTGGTGTTACCTCAAAGGTATTTGCATAGTCTAACACTATTCCATAAT